AAGCGGGGCTGGACTGGATGACCTCTGAGGGATCCTCCAGCCCTGGGACTCTCTGTGACGGTTGCAAAATAAATGGGAGGGGCTGTTGGTCTTCCTCCCCCCCCCAATCAGGAGGTAACTAAACCTCACCTCCACCCCTCAGTCCGCCAACCTCTCTCCCTTTGGGAAACCTTCCTTGACTCCAGCCTGAAGAAAAGAGGAGAAGCCAAAAGAAAATCTTTCTGCGGTTTTTTCCCCTCCTTGAAATGGAGAGAAAAAAGAATCACCTCAGGAAAGAGACTTGGGCCACAAAATGGAGGACGCTGGGTCTTTGCCAGCTTTAGCTTTCCTTCTCACTGCCTGTGAAGGACAGCTAGGACTTAAAGGTCAGACAGTAGACTGTCCCTACAGGCAGCGTGAAGGACAGCTAAAGTGTGGAAAGACCCATGGAGGGAGGATCTTGGGTGCTGGCTGAGGAATTCTGGGTATTGAAGTGCACACATCTTCAAATTGCTCAGGTTGAGAAACATGCTCTACTTGGTAGTCAGACAGATGATCTCTAAGATCCCTTTAAGCTCCATTATTCTCATTATTATTCTTTTTGTGTTGCAATAATAACAAGGCCGGGCTTTGCTTAGTTCAGGGGTAGGCAACCTTGGCTGTTTTATGACTCGTGGACTTCAACTCCCAGAATTCCTGAGCCAGCCATGCTGGCTCAGGAATTCTGGGAGTTGAAGTCCACGAGTCATAAAAGAACCAAGGTTGCCTACCCCTGGCTTAGTCAAAAGAAACTAAACTAATTGCACCCTCTGCCCCTAGTGTCAAAAGACACACACACAAACACAAACACATACACACCCATCAGAAGTCCCCTTGAAATTCCCCCAAAGGACCCACTGAAAGTATCTCCTCTCCAGCCAAGAAACCTGCCAACAAAGAGGAGAGCAAGTGGGAAATTCCCTTGATTTCGGTGGGGATGACTTGGGTCCCCCTGTGGATGAACTTGGCTTTGGCTTGCTCCCAAACCAACCACTCAGCCATGCAAGAGAGCCTAAAGCCGGTCAGCAAAAGCAACCAATGTACGGAGGTAGTTGCAACCTGTAGGATGAGGCCTGCTTTCCCATCCAACTACCCAAGGAACTTGCAGGATTTGGCCTCTCTCATCCAACTTCAGAACCCAGCAGCACCCAACTTTATCCCCCACCTTGTCTTTTTGCAGAGGAGCTCATGGTAGTACTTCTTGCGAGACTTAGAGGATTTTTTTAAATAATATTTTATTAATTTTCCAATTTTACATTTAAATATTTAAAAAGCAACGTGGTGACTGGGTTAATCAATAGCCCAGTAACAAAATCTTAGTGCAAATCTCAGGCTACAACATCAAATATTTCTTCTCTTTTTCCCTTAACAATTACTGTCTCATGTTCAGATTGGTACATTTCTAATTATATCAATTCAATAAGAACATCGTTATTACATTTATCAATAAAGTTTTAGCTTATACATATCTTAATTACGTTCAATCTTCATAAACAATCCATATCCTGTTATTGAATTTTACTCAATTTTTAATTTCTTATCAATATTCCAATTTAACCCTTTGATATTTCTAATTTTCAGACTTTGGGTAAACCAAAATTTCCCTTCTCTCTAGATGATTTAATATGGTGGGAAATAGATAATTCTTAGGAAGTAGAACAAAATTATATTTAAATAGATAAAATGTGTATTTTGGATATCATAGTTCAGTGGTGGCGAACCTATGGCATGCGTGCCAGAGGCGGCACTCAGAGCCCTCTCTGTGGACACGTGCGCCGCCGCTGCCAGCAGCTTGCGCAGGTCCATTAGGCCGCCACTGCCTGATGCAGCAGCCCCACCCAGCACAAAAGAGGCAAAGTGGCCAGCTATTAAGCTCAAGTAGAGGTGGTAGAGCACGCCCACACCCAGCAAGCCAAAGGCCACCCTGAGCAGGGAAAGCCGGATCCCCATCGGCGCCATGGCCCCCCAGTCCCAGCTAGGATTGTGTGCCTCCCCCCATCTATGCTGGACCTCCTGCCCACCACCTCCCTCGCCAGAGACCCCCTGGATCTCCCCAAACCCTGCCCGGCCCCCACAGGCGTCCCCATGAGCAACATTGAGGTGGCCATGCCCACCCTAGCCACACCCACCTAGTCTGCTGTGACAACCACAGCCAAGCCCATCCAGTGGGCCATGCCCACCCAGTGGGCCATGCCCCCATGCCCCTCCTGAGGGCACCACAATGCTGATGAGGCCCTGGCACTTTGCGATAAATAAGTGGGTTTGGGGTTGTGGTTTGGGCACTCGGTCTCTAAAAGGTTCGCCATCACTGTCATAGTTTATTACTAGAGGATTTTTTAAAGAGGTTCCATTTGTTTGTGGACCTTGCGGCGCCCCCTTAATATTCAGAGCCCCCTACAGTCCTACACAAAGTACTCCCTGCTTGCAGGAAAGTATGAGGTTGCCATAAGGCTGGTCACCTGAGCCTTGAATCACGTTGGCTAGGCTCCTCTTCAACACCCCCCCCCCAAAAAAAGATAAGCAGGCCAGGTGGCTGGATGGGAAAGTAGGCCTTGTGCTACAGGCTGTAACTTCCTCTATTTGCCAGTCGCTTCTGCCGACTGGCTTTAGGCTCCCTTGCATGGCTGGCTGGGGAGCAGGTCACACAATCCCGACGGAGAAGAAGAGCGTTGGGTGCCTGGGGGAGGGCTTTGGAAAGCCAGACCAGGCAGGCCTGGGCCTGTGCTAGATCTCCAAGGGACTCCCCACCTGTTATGTGCCCCTGGACCCCTCTCTGGATGCAAGTTCAGAGGAGGGTAAGTGCTGTGGCTCCGTCCTGTGGGTCCCTATCATCGGAGGAGGAAGGCTCTGAACATGAAGGAGAGGAGATGGCCAGGCCTCCCTCTCCAGGACCTTCCCCTCTGGTGCGGCCTTCGGTGTCTTCCGATGGAGAGGAGATTGGCCAGGAGCCAGGTGTTTCTGGGATCGGCCAGGAGCCAGGTGCTTCTGGGATTGGCCAGGAGCCAGGTGTGTCGGACTCTGAGGAGGATACGTCTTGGCTGGATCCACGCCAGCGTCGGAGGGACAAATGTGCGCAGCAGCTAAAACGTCATGCCAGAGATTTCAGCTGAGTCACTGGGCCACACCCCACAGGCTATATAAGCAAGGGGTGTGCCGTTTGCAACTCTTGTGACGAACAATACTGAATCTTCTGTTGTAGCACTTCGGAATTATCCTGGACTTTGATTTGTATTTGTACTGTGAGTTATCAGTAAAGGTCTTGGCAGACAGCCACGGAGTTGCTGCCAGGTGTTTATCTGTGTTTTTGGCAGTGCGGAGCAGTCTTTTAACCCTTGGCTGACTGGTTGGGGGGTGTGAGTCGGACGGGGGACAGAACAGTGAGTTTGAGTCGGCAGAGGAAAGGGCGCAGCCTAGTATTGGTCAGGAGAGTGCTAGCCTGATGGAACAGCTGGGTCAATCAGACCAGTGACAAACTGACGCTGAGCGAGGTGAGCCACGGCTGCAGCGAGGTGGCCAGGAGGCTCCAGTGGAGGACTGGGAGCAGATGCTGCCATTAGCAAAGAGGAGGAAATGAAGTCCACACCTCTTCCTGACTCAAGGACACATAGAGCCGAGAGGAGCCAGGCCCAACGCCAGTCAGCTAGACTACCTATGAGGAGGCAACTACTTAACCTACTTAATCCCACTCTGAGGACTTAAGTATTGCTGGAGTAACATGCCCAGTTCTGTGCCTTGTGTTGTGTATCTTGGGACTTTGTGTGTGCCTTTTGGTCTTGGTTACCTAGTGACTCTTGTGCTGAGCTTGGAAGCCAGACCTGTGCAAGAGGGGTGCTTTCTGAGGATCTGTTTGGGGGTGTGTGTTGAATAAACACCTGTAGAACTGTTGCTGTATATGGGGGGAGTGGGGCAGCACACCACCCCTGGGAGAGGCACTTGTGCGCCACTTAACAGCCTGCATGATTGTTTAATGATTGTGTTGGCGAGAGCAGGGATGAGGAGTCATTAAGAAAGAGGTTTCTCTTAATAGCCATTGCAACATGTGACCATTAAAGGGCAGGTTCCATTACACTCATAATCAAGGATTATTTGTATTATATCAGTGCAGATGTGCTATGCTTCTCCCACGTGCTTGAAAGCATATGGACATTTAAAACAATGATGAAATTTTGTGACTGCAGGATGGGGACAACTTATTCTGTTGCTTGCTGTAAGACAGCAGCAAAAACAGGTTATTGAGGGAACAGTTTCAAAATCAAGTGGCCTTTAAAAAAAAAAATCCCATTGGCTATTCTGTTAGGGGTAGCAAATCTGGGTAGTAAAAGTCCAGATGAATGCTAAGTGGAAGAAATGTGTTAAAATAGTTTTCTATAACTGCCTTCTGCCATCCTGTGGTCATCCAGGTTTCTCAGCCTGAATTTGTTTTTGCAGAGTAAGCCCCAAAAAGTCAAAACGGTAGTTGTGATGTGTGTCACCCATAAAAACCAAGTTAGTCCACCATTACAACTACCGTCCTGACTTTTCTGATGGCTTTATTTTCCTTTTTCCCAATATAACTTTCTTTTCTAGGTACTCACAAATCCTCCGCTTGATTATCTTTTGTAGGATTTTCCCAGGTGTTTTTATCAAACTGATTGGCCTATATTTTCCTGGATCCATTTTCCCCCTTTTTGTACAGTGGAACCACATCAGCAATTTTCCAGACGTGTCACGGGAGCTTTGAAATATCTTTCATTCAGTGGCTTCGAGATAGCATCTGCCAGTTCCTTCAGAACCCCGGGGTATAAACCATCTGGTCTAGGCGATTTGCACAGATGTTGTTATAGAACGGAGCACCATTTTGAAATTGGTGCTTACAATCTGCATGATTTTGTTGTATTTTTCATTCCTTTTCATAAATCAAACATTTTTTGAATTGGCTACCCCATAGTTGCAATCTCTATAGACCAAGAAAATCATCAGTAAAGTTAGGTGATTTTTTTTATTATATATGTGAAGAAAGTAGAATTATTTGTATAAACATATAACCTACACATCTGTATGAGAGTGAATATCGGCTCCAACATCATCGGCTAATTGTGTTAAACTGTGAGTAATACTGGCCAGAAGGAAAATTTGTATATACTTCTTCATTCAAATATGCTTGTCTGAAAAAAACAACAACAGTTGATACATGTTAATGGCTGAAGTCTCTAAATATGAGATTGCTTATTCTCAGTATCAGCAAGACATCAATTTTAATGTTTTTTACAAATGGGCTAAAGAACTTAGAATGCCAGTGTTGAAAGAAAAGTCTTCATCGTGGTTCATCCAAGCTGGGAATAAACATGGCAACTGCTTTGGGAAGAAGGTTGTAGTTTATTGGAGAGGACAGCCAGACAGGAAGATGATTCTGGCAACAAGAGAAGTGAAAAAAAAAAGGACTGAGCACATGTAGGGAGTGGGTTTTTATACCCTCTGGAGCCTTTTGTTTGGAGTTGTTCCTGTGGCATGAACTTTGACCTGAGTCTGAGTGTGCCTTTCTGGTATTCTGATGGTGATGGCTCAATCTTATTATGTGCAAAGGTCATATCCTGCTTCCCTGGGGCTGATGACTCTTAGAGTTTGGATGGGGCATGTAGATTTTAGGTCTTTGTCTTCTTAATCTCCTAGCTCCCTGGATTTACATCTGCATCTCCATAGAGCTGGTTTCTGTTTGGGGAAGGGAGACCTGGGGCTATTAAGAAAAACTGGGCATGCTTTCCTGCATTTTTAAGATCCTTTGAGGAAATATTTTTTTCTGCCCTTTTAATATTTCCTTCTCTGCGGGGCTGACTTCCTACACCAGTTTGGTGAAATGGGTAAGAGATAAGGCTAGAAACCAGGAGGTTATGATTTTCTAGTCCAACCTTAGGCATAAAAGCCAACTGAGTGACTTTGGGCCAGTTACTCTTTCTCAGCACCAGGAAGGAACCAAACCATTTAAAAAAAAAAACAAAACTTGCCAATAAAACTGCAAGAATTTGTCCAAGCAGTTGCCAGGAGTTAGCACTAACTTGAAGGCATTAAAAAAAACATATAAAACACTAGAAAAAAGTGTCTTTTGAAATAAGTTGACAGCAGTGGTGTTTGTTGAGGGCAGTCAGAAAAGGCAAGATGGTAGACATGACAGCATAATTGAAGCCCCACCCCTTTGTACACGCATGCACATGAGATCTAACTCATTAGATTAAACAATGTGTAGGATCAGCCTTAATTTATAGAATGCAGAGGTCAGAGCAGGGTTATCTGGCAGGCTGGAAAGCTGTTGAAAATTAAATTATTCTGCTGCTCCACTGGTCAAAGTTACCAGGCCTAAAGCATCCGGAGGCATCGCATACATGTGCTTGCCAGAAGCAGGTGCTAATGCTGCCAAGCCCCACTAGTCTGCCCCAGGGAGTTTCTGGGCTCATCTTGGGCTAAAACAAAGTGGGCATCCAGAAAATGTCTTACTTATTTTTCTGCTCCTGGGACAGCTGTGTGTTAAAATTATCTAATGCTCTCCGCAGGTCCCGATTCTGACGTTGCTGATGACGCTCATAGAGCAATTCGGCTCTGGCCTCCTGAATCCGCTTTCGGTCCCATTCTATGTTTTTCTGGTGTTCCTCTTCATCTAACCTCTGCATGAGAACCAGAAAGTTGGTTTATAGTCAGCAATTAAACACCTCTGCCCCCCACCAACCCCCCCATCTATCTTTCTTTGCTGCTAATAGCTTTCAACAGATGGGCTGCTAATGATCCTGGCTGCTAATGAAGGAGGAGGAGGAGGAGGAGGAGGAGGAGGAGAGAAAGAGAAAGATCTTGACTTTTTTTTACCACACCATGCAGAATTCCGGGTTGTTGTTCCACAATGCTATTCCTTTAAAGCAGGGCTTTTCAACCAGTAGTACGGGTACCACCTGTGGTACATTGGCACCTGGCAGGTGGTACGCGACCATCCTAGAAAAGTGGTAGCGGGGGAGGGGAATGATCTGAAGTGACGGCAGCACCGCACAAGCCTGAGCGAGAGATGGCTGGAGCTGCAGGGCTGTCAGGGCTCAGCGGAAGCGCCAGGATCAGTGCCGCTTTCTAGCTGATCGGGGCTTCTTCGGGACTGTCAGGGCTCAGCGGAAGCGCCAGGCTCAGCGCCAGGCTCCAGCTGAAGCTCAGCGCTGATCCTGGTGCTTCTGCTGAGCCCTGAAGAAGCACCAATTAGCTGGAAAGCAGCACTGATCCTGGCACTTCTGCTGAGCCCAGAAGAAGCACCGATCAGCTGGAATGTTTGCAGCATCTCCAGGGTCTTGTGATTTACATTCAGATGCTTGGCAACTGATTCATATTTATGACAGTCACAGTGTCCCAGGGTCATGTGACCAAAACCTGCTGCAACCACCCAGCAGACGGGGGAATAAAAACCAAATACCACCTCACCCCCGCTACCAATCCTCAACAGAAATGCTCACAACAATGAAAACCTCGGACAGGAGGAAGAGCGTCGCCGGGTGGGCAGGCAGGTGTCTTGCTCGGCTGTGGCTTGGGGGCCACTTTTTTCAGTGCCATTGTAATTTCGAACAGTCACTAAGCGAACTGTTGTAAGTCGAGGACTACCTGTACTTTATCACTTTTTTCCTTTTGGGGGGGGTCATCAAGTTTTTGACACCTTGCTAGGCGACTGGTGGTACTCGGATATTGGCATATCCTGAAAGTGGTACAATGGGAGAAAAGGTTGAAAAGCCCTGCTTTAAAGCAGCAGCTCCCAGCCTTTTCTATACCCCGCACCCCTAGAACGTTTCTGATATATATTTGTTTCTTACAAATGTTCGACATAATGGCAACGAATTATGCATATACACTATAATTTTGAAAGCCCAAGTTTTCGCCCCCCCCCCGGAATATTGTCTCGCACCCCCAGGGGGTGTGATAACCCCAGGTTGGGGACCCCTGCTTTAAAGGGAGTACCAGCTTCTCCAGCACTTGTTGCAGTTGAATATCCTGGATTTCTTTCAGCTGAGCTTGGCTCATTCCTTTCCATCGATCCGTGATGATACCATTTGGTCCAAAGGAGCTGACGGCTTGCTGCGGGTTTTCAGTCAGCAGATCCCCCTGAAGTTGGCTCATAATCTCCCTCTCTTTTGCTTCTTCTTCTTGCTGTTTTTCGAGTCTTCTCTTACGCTCAGACTCAGCAGCCTTAAAAAAAAAAAAAAAATCACCGCAATGTTTACAAAATGAAAGAGGGTGGGTTCTCACCAGAAGGCAAATTCAGCAACTGTGTTTTGTAGGATTTCTGGTAGAGAATAAAGACTGGATAAGATAAAGAGTAAAAAAGCCAGAGCCAAGGCAGCAGGGGCCGTTCTCTCACTGTTCCAGGATGGCTTCGTGGGCCACATGAAACCACTTTGCAGGCCGCATCCGGCCCCCGGGCCTTGTGTTTGACATGTCTGCATTATAGCATCACAATGATCAGGTTTAGATTTTCTGAGCCTCACTTGGAAGCTAGTGACAACATGCATCTCTTTATACAATCTGTGTCCTTGCTCAATGATGTCATGTTCCTCAATGATGTCCACCCAGTAAAAGAACAGTTTTTTTGGTCTTATCCCAACCCAGTACCCACAAAGACTCTTGAACAGATGCAACAATAAATGACAACAGTCAATAATAAGACTTACTTTCAAGCTGAAGTAAGTATGCTGGAATGTAAATATCTGTAATAACCTATTTCAGCTACATAAAAATAATTATCGTAGACGACTGACAACATTTACTTTGAACACCATGATTATTGAACATTTGCTTCAGTAATTACTATATTTTACTGTCATTATTAGATATATATTTTATATATTCTTAAGATTTATGCTTAAATTTAGAATGTGGTTATTTTGTTATATGGTTTTAGGGGTTTTTTTTGGACTATTTAGTTTGTCTACTTTCTATATGATGTTTTAATTTAGAGTAGGAGGTTATTTTATTATATATATCTTTGTACCTGTACTGAAGAAAGTTGGAAGTAATTCTTTTTCTATTTCGTTTCTTTCTTTTCTTTTGTCACCTAATTACCACAGTACTTGTCATAGGTTAAAGATATTTACCCACGTAATAGGCTGTATTGCTATTATCCTTCTCATCTTCTCTAGTACCTTCTCCTATTGGTATCCTATGATGTATCACTTGTTTGTATTTTATGATTAATGATTGTTAACTATGATTTATGATCTGTGACCTATCACTTTGCTGTTTACATGTACACTGAGAACTTATGCACTGGAGACAAATTCCTTGTGTGTTCAGTCACATTTGGCCAATAAAGAATTCTATTCCATTCCATTCCATTCTTTTTTACTTTCCTGATTCCCCCATTTGATTCCCTTTCCTCTTTTAATCTTTTTTCTTTTGGTTAATTTGTATTTTATCTTTTTTTGAAACTTAAAAAGAGCTGCCTTAAAATAAGAGCAATTACAGTATGTCATACTCCTAGAAGGCACTCTATTTAAGTAATAATAACCAATTTTGCTTTACCAGGGCTTTATTGAATTCTGTGGTAGTGATACAAATTGCTCGTCTGGTTTCCTCATCTGCTCTTTGGAGATTCATAGCCTTTTCATCAAGCTCCAGTCTCTGCTGCTTATAGAGTTCATCTATAAATCAAAACAAATCCGTTATGTCACAAGTGCCATGTAGTAAATCATTGCCCCCCCAAAAAACAATAGCAATAGCACTTAGTCTTATATTCCACTCCAGTGCTTTGCAACATTCTCTGAGCAGTTTACAATGTCGAATCCTCATTTTACCAATCTCAGAAGGTAAAATGAGTCCCATCAGAATTGAGCTCCAGGCTGTGGGCAGAATTAGCCTGTAATACTGCATTCTAAACACTGTGCCACCACAACATCTATGTTTGTTCAAACCTTGGTTCTTTAGCCCAAGTTCCCAGTGTCAGCTTCTGTCCCTCCTCCATTCTTCAAGTGTTTTCCATTTACCAGAGACAAATTCTATGTTTTTAGTTCTTGCAATGTTTCCTATTAAGGTCCAATGGAGAAGACTGTGGTTAATACCTACCATTTTGTCTTGTATTTGAATTTGGGCTTGACGCAAGGATGGACAGCTCCACATTCTGGACGCAAGGATGCACTTTGGTTGCTGACCCTGGTTATTTTTGTTTTAAAGCGGATTTTGACAGGTTTTTTTATTTTTGTATATTGGTTTTTAACTTGTTTTTTAAATAGAATGTTGCCTTTAACTGTGGTGAGCCATCTAGAGTTACTAAAGTGGGATGGGCAGCAATACAAATCAAATAAATACATTTAATATATGCTTTGCCTATCAAATATGGAAGATGGCGTCTTCAAAAGGGCCCTTCTACCAACTTCAGCAACTCAACAGATGTGTAGTGGGAGAGTAACCTCTTATATAGACAGCCCTTCGGTCATTTAGGATTTTAAAGTACTGACAGATTAATTTACGCCTGCAAAACAGCCATGCCAGTTTTTCAAAACAGGCATCAGTGGTTTTCAAAGTTTAAAATGTGTGGACTACCTAATCTACTAAATCATAACAGTAACTGTGAATGAGAAACAAAGTCCCTCACACCCAAAGTGGTAAAAGAGGAAGTAAAGAAGTAGAAGAGAAATCACGTCATGGCACTCTTTTCAAAATTTGGCAGATGACAACTCTTAAGCTAATTCCCTATTGCAGATTCGGTCGTACCTGCATATTTTTTGTCTGCAAGGGCTTTCTGCTTTTCTTCTTCTTGCTGCAAAAGCCATTCTCTGGTTTGCTCTTGCTGGAACTTCCACCTATCCTTACTGTTTAAATCTTCTCCCATGAACTTCTGCAAGCTGGATATGGTACAGCGTGGATCATTGTCAGCAAGCTGAGCAGCAGTATCCTTCTGCAGGTGTTGTGGGTCAAAGAGGTCATATTCACGCACCGTTTCTGGCTTCTGATAATTTTGACGAAATTCGTTGACAGCTTTGTTTAGAATCTGGGCATCTCTTTCCTTTCGTTGGTCTAACAGACAGAGGATCTTATCATTTTGTTTCATTTCTGCAGCTATATTTAGAAGGGGGGAAAAAGCTGTGATTCCAATCCTTAAAAAAATACAATTTTTGTGAAGCTAAATAGCATGTTGCATGGCTAAAGTTAATTGTTCCAATCCAAATAAGATCAGTGCTCTCTTTTACCTGTTCAGATTATACATTCAAGCACTTTATCTCCATGCGAAGAAGTTCATAGTTACAGATAGTCCACTACTTTATGACCACAATTGGGACCAGAATTTCCATTGCTAAGCAAGGCGGCTGTTAAGTAAGTTAGGTCCAATTTTATGACCTTGTTTGCCGTGGTTGTTAAACAATCACTGTAGTTGTGAAGTTGTTAAACAACTCCAGCTTTCTGTAGTGACTTTGCTTGTTGGAAGCTGGCTGGGAAGGTCCCAAATGGCCTGGGATGTTGCAACCATTATAAATAAACAAAATCTGATCACATGACCATGGGGATGCTGCAGTGGTCGTAAGTGTGAGGAGTCACTTTTTTCAGTGCCATTCTAACTTGGAATGGTCACTAAAAAATAGATATAAAAATTGCAGACTACCTGTATTTTGAAATATCCCTTTAAAAGAATGTTGCACAGGAGTACTTCTATAGACCTAATATCCATGCCAATAAACATTCCTCATAGCTCACAGCGGTCTTTAATCATAGTTATTGCAGCTCCATTAAGCCCAGAAAAACTAATGTTTCAGCCATCTGTATCCCTGTCTTGCAGTACTATCTTAATATGTGCTGGGAAAAAAATTAGCTGAGTGAAAAAAATATTCAAGACTGGGACAAATACACTGGAAAAGGGAGATGTATGTGATGGAAGTTCTCACCAAGATGTCCCAAACCCAAACCTTGCAGAGTTCAAGCATTTTATGATTTACAACTATCTTACTTGCCCAAGGAAAATCTCAGGTCAGTGGATGCCGGGACAGGAATGGAATCAAAGTTTTATGGTAGAAGGGCTGAAGGAGAACTCATTTTTATAGCCATCTGACAAATGATTGTTTTAAAAAAATGATATGATATATACCAATGGAATCATCACGGGCCTTCTGGACTGCTTCTTGAATCTTCTTGTCTTTTACTTGGGTGTCCAGAGCTTCCTTGTCAATCTGTGGTAAACATGAAAAAAAACCTGGTTCAGATTTCATACCCAAAAAGATAATCCCAGAAGAGGAAATTTCCCAAAATAAGCTCAGCTTTAACTGCTGTTTTCAGGAAACAAAAAGGTGAGACAAATAAAGGCAACAAAGTTATATTCTAGTCTTTATTGATGAATTAAAACTAAATAAATCACTAGAATTACATTGCATCCCATTAAATAGATTTTTAAAACTCTCAAATACAGAACTATTAACCTTTAATTCAATTATGTCACATATCTTTAAGATTGTCCTTTGGATGTACAGTATAAGACATATGCAAAGGATTGCACTCAGTTGTGTACTGTAAAATTATTCCAAATAATTATTTGGGCATTGTCTGTTTCTGGGTAGGAAAACTTTCCTCTTTTCTCCTTTTGCGTATAAAATAAAGAGAAATTTTAAAAAAAATGCATGAAGTCACGCAACTGGCGTTGAAAAAAACTATCCCAATATTAATTCGTGCCAAAGAATTAAATTTAAATGACAGTCAAGAAATCTAAACAATTACAGAACTTCCTACCCCGATAGTCCTGACTCGGGCATCAAAGATCCGGCTTTGCCTTTGCAGCTCCCGGTAGCGCCTCCGCTCCCGCGCCGCCGCCTCGGCCCGGGCGTGCACAGCCATAGCCGGCCAGAGCAGCCCTGCGGAAGCAGGGAGGATGAAAGAAGATGCTTCGCGCCGGGGAAGGTATCTAGGACGCGCAGCATCCCCGGCGCCTAGCAACGGTCTCCACAACTCAGAGTTGCTAAGGAAATGAGCCAAAGCGCTTCCGCTCGAACATGGTTCGAGCTATCGAGGCTCTCCTGCCCGCAGTTCCCGTATCAAGAATAGAGATTAAGCGATTGCTAGAGCGGCCACAACATCTCACCCTCAGGAGCAGGGGTAGTCAACCTTGGCTCTTTTATGACTCGTGGACTTCAATTCCCAGAATTCCTGAGCCAGCTTAGCTGGCTCAGGAATTCTGGGAGTTGAAGTCCACGAGTCATAAAAGAGCCAAGGTTGACTACCCCTGCTCAGGAGTCTAGAACGGAGGCAAGGACCCCCCCTTAGGGCGGGGCAAAGCCTCGGAAGGCGGAGCGCAGGTGGTGGTGGGGGGAAAAGCCTTCCCTTTGAAGTCTCGCGAGATATCCTTTCCCCTCAAGCGTAGCGCGGACTCGGCCGAATTGGCGGGAAGGGAGTTTGTTGCGCTGTGAGGGCGGAGAGTCGAGGTCCATGTATTCAATGTATAACCTTCTGTATAAGCGCTTATATCTTTCGTCGCGGGTCTCTGGAAAGGGAATGTAGTCTTGCGCTCGCCGCTCGTTATTTTATACATTTCAAGCGCCAGGGCAAGCGTGGTAGTACCTCAGCTGAAATTCCCAACCGCGCGGTTCATAGTCCCATCTTTTATTTCCTTCCCAGCATTTTTTTTTTTTATTTCTTCCCCCCTTGAGGGCAAGCGTTGAATCCAGTTGACATAAATACCGAAATGACGCATTGAAGTGTTAAAAAAAAATAATTGGGTGCTCTTTGAGGAACCAGGTTACCCCTCCAGATGTGTCCCCAAAATGCTGATATTTCATCCCTTCTTGAAGGGACTATACAATTGGAAATGAATGCTCATGTTCAACAGCAATGTTTCTATAAAGGCAAGGGGCAGCTTAAAAACGGAGATAATTTATTATTTATATAATAATAATGGGTCCATCCGTTTTGGCTAGTCTGCACTCAGGGAATCTTAATTTTTAAATATTTGGACCTTTCCTTAGGAATGACTGCTTAAAGACAATGATATATATAAGCATTCCAATTACCCTCAAATGAAAAAATATATAGTTGCAGCCAAAGACCTAGGACAGCGGTTCTCAACCTGTGGGTCAGGACCCCATTTGGGGTCGATCGACCATTTCATGGGGGTCGCCAAGCAAGGCTGTCCACCATTTTTTCCCCCTTTTCCGGCGGGTGCCTTACCTCCCTTGGGCTGGGCCAGCTGGTGGTCGGCCTGCTCCGTCTCTGCCGCTTGCCAGCTACGCCTCGGCCGGCGCAGGGGGCGGAACCACGTATGCGCGGTGCTCCCGGGCAGGGAAAGTCCTTGACTTACGACCGGTTGGGTAGTCCTCGACTTACGACCGGTTTAGTCCTCGACTTACGACCGGTTTAGTCCTCGACTTACGACCGGTTGGGGTCGCGGCATTAAAAAGGTTGAGAACCACTGACCTAGGATATAATAAAACTCAGCGTAAAATAGGAGACGTACAAAGAACAAATGGTTAAAATTAACAGCATATCCATTAGATGGTCGCACACTTTGTGTATAATACAGCAGAATTTAGCGACTTTCAGAATAACATTAATATACAAAAGTAAAAATGAAATTAGAAAATTGGGAAATTTGCTTCCATACGAGGTTATGAACGCTAATTATACCAGCATAATAAAACAGGCAATATAGCAAATGTTCTTATTTGGGCTCCATCATCAATCATGGCAGTGTTCTGTCTCACATTTCCTTTGCTTTGCTTCCTCATCCATAGATGGGATACTTAAAGCTTTTGCTGATCGAGAATTTCAAATCCTGGCGGGGACAGCAATGCATTGGGCCGTTCAAGAAATTCACTTGTATCATTGGCCCTAATGGCTCAGGTAATGTGTGGAAATGATTTCTAGCAGTTCCCTTCAGTTAGGGCCTTCCTAGACTTCTGTATCCTTTTACAACACCCATTGTACCTATTTATTGGTTGTATTTTTTCAAGATGTTTCCCTCCCCTGTAGACTGGCTGTAGTACAGTATTGTGCAATTGTTCTTGTTGAAAAACAAAAATGCTTTAGGTAAGTAAAATATTATTGATTAAAGGGTACAAACAAATTAAGCTATATAAATAGCCATTTAATTTATATTGGCAGTAAAATATTAATCTGTGCAAGAAATGCCATTCCATTGGGGAAGAAGGAGAACAAATTTTGTGTTTAGAAGGAACATTAAGAGTTAAGAGTTCCGTTAGTATGTGTTTACAGCAGGTAAAGGGATATATCAGTGTAGGGTGAAAATGGTTTCATGAAATTTAAAATAGTGATATTTGTAATTCTAATTTGTATCTATAAAAAGCTATTTTAACATTTTGTGCAATTAAAGGGAAATCAAATGTAATGGATGCCCTTAGCTTTGTAATGGGTGAAAAGACATCTAATTTAAGAGTGAAGCACATTCAGGAACTGATACATGGGGCACATGTTGGAAAGCCAGTTTCTTCAAGTGGAAGTGTAACAATGGTGTATGTAGAAGAAAATGGGGAAGAGAAAAGATTTTCAAGGATTATTCGAGGCAAGTACAATTTTTCTAAAAATTAAATATTGTGAAGTATAAAGAAAATATAAAGAACAAATTATATAGATATTAGTATTGTTTTGTTCAATTACACGTGGCAAATTTATGTCATAGGCTGTTGGATAAATTCACATTTTATAAAGTCTGGGAATATCTTCGCTGTCTGGTATATGATTCTCTAAGCATAGCGAGAAGAGCAGGAAATCTTTGGATTGGACAATATCGATATACTTGGATAATATCACATAATATCACTTTCTGCCCTGGCTCCTGCCCTCTGGAACATTATGTCTCCTGGGTGAGATTGCGCCCACCCTTTTGGCCTTCCGAAAAGCCCTGATGGGAGCAGATCATTTTAGAAGTAGTTAATAAGATCCCACCTCCTCCATGTATGTATGTTGTTCCCTTCCTTTCCATCTTTGTTAATTTTTAAGTCAATTTTAGTGTTAATATTTATTGTTCTGATGTTTTATTTTGTTGCTTTTATTCATAGTAAGCCACCTAAAGTTGCTTTAGGCAAGATGGGTGGCATATAAGTTTAATAAATAAAATAAAATAAATATCAAGGTAATTGTTGTTAGGAATAAAACTGCCAATGTACATTATTTTAAAGGCATACACCAAATACATTTTAAAAAAAACATGCAAAACAAAATGAATAGATACTAATACAGTATAAGACAACATTTTGTTATAAAAATGATATTTTTCATAGGCAAAATAAATATTATACAGAATAACAGAGTTGAAAGGGACCTTGGAGGTCTTCTAATCCAACTTCTTCTTTTCCATCAAGAGACCCTAGACCATTCTGGACAAATGGCTGTCCAATCTCTTCTTAAAAACGTCCAGTGATGGGTACCCACAACATCTCGATGCAAGCCATTCCACTGATTAATTGTTCTCACTGACAGGAATTTTCTCCTTAATTCTAGGTTGGATCTCTCTTTGTTAAGCTTCCATCCATTACTTCTTATCTTGTCCTTACTTGCTTTGGAGAATAGGTTGACCCTCTACTCTCTGGACAGCCTCTCAAGTGTTGGAAGACTGCTATCATGTCACCCCTAGTCCTTCTCTTTGTTAGACAAACATTCCCATTTCCCACATCTGTTCATCATATGGTTTAATCTCATCCCTTAATCATCTTTGTTACTTTTCTCTGCACTCTTTTCTAAAGTCCAACATCTTTTTTGTACCATGGTGACCAAACCTAGATGCAGTATTCCAATGTAAATGTACCAGTTCAACATAAAATGGCACTAATACTTCACGTGATCTTGATACTATCCCCCTGTTGATGCAGCCTAGGACTGCATTGGCTCTTTTGGCAACTGTAGCACACTGCTGGCTCATAACATAAATTATTGTCCACTAGGACTCCTACATCCCTCTCACAGTTACTGCTAAGGTTTTTAAAAAATAAATTATAAGCAAGTGAAATTCAGGAAGTAAAACACAACAAAATTATTAGGGGCATAAACAAAACAGCTGCTTAACATACAGAATTACAATATGCATAATTATAGTTTTAAATATGAAGTGAAATATTTATGCAATGCAAAATTTGCAACAACTCAGTTTCAGCAGTACAGATTTAAAAAGAAATAGTTTGCTGTTAGTTCCAAGCTGTGTATCCATGAGAAAGGAAAGAAAAGGAAAGGAAAGAGGAGGAAGGGATGGGGAGAGAGAAAGAGAGAGAAGAAAGAAAAAGAAAGAAAGAAAGCCTTATAGTTATGCAGAAGGGAATTTAGGAAAAATGATCAAGCAAAACAAGACACCTTACAAAGAGAAGGAAAAAAATGTAGAAAACCAAAAACGCTTACTTTATTTCATGCAAGGATCTAGCCCAAAAACTAGCTTGAAAGTTGCAAATAACAAAATTATTTGCAACAAAAATATTTCTTAAAAATTAAAAAGAAATAAATTTGTTTTATTGGGTTTCTATATTGTATAATAAAGTGGCAAGAAGCTTATTTAATGCTATAAACAATGAGGACAGTATAATGAGATCTGTAGTTTAGTGTAAAAATATAATTGCAGACAGCCATCTTCTAGAGATAGTCTGTTTATAGCTAATGTTTTACAGTGAAAATATATTTATTATTTATTTTCCAAATGTTGGATTTCTGTACACTGTTTGTATACATTTTGAAAAATTGTGGGCTGGTTATTAACTTCTTATTTTGTTGCTTCTTTCAAAATTAGGCAGTGGATCTGAGTTTCTTGTTAATGGTACTGCTGTTAACCGATCTATGTATACAAAGGCACTTGCGGAAATTGGCATAATTGCAAGAGCAAAGAATTGTCTAGTTTTTCAGGTAAATAATTGTGTTCAAAATTTAATATAGCATAAATTACATGTTTATATTGTTGGTAATT